GGTGGGGGGGGGGGGTTGGGGAAGGGGGGGGGGGGGGGGGGGGGGCGTGGAATACTTGGCCGTCTTTCCGGGGTGATGGATCGCGGGCAGAAGGAACAGCGAGCGTCGGCCTGGGTACGGGTGGTACGATACGGCACGCGTCGACAAGGGTCTCGACAACGTTAATCCATGAGAGAACGAGTTGAAGCACGTGGGAACGCATCTGTATGAATAATCTGCCACAACAGAAGACACCCAAAACTACGGTCGAGACGGCACACCCACCGCCCCCGTAAGTTTGTTGCCCTCAAGAGCAAAATATCACTCACCTGTCTTTGCCTCGTGCGCCTCTGACGATCGCATGGTCCCTGACGGCCGGAACGTAAGCGACGTTCGGACAGGAGAGCACAAGGAAGGTAGACCCTTCCCCGTGCAGAACCCTGCAGCGGTAGAGCACAGCAGGCCCCCGAGCAGGGATACCCGCGGGTATTTCCGGGTGTCGGTCCGCTCTCGCACCCTTTGGGTGGCCTGCTCCCGGGTTAGCAATGGCTCCGTCTCCGTTTGCCGTTGCCTTGTTCTCGCCGCGAGGTGCTGGGGTGAGGCTATCGGCACCATCTGCTCTCCGTTTGTTCGACACGATGTCGTCACCACCACCACGGCTCCCACCGTCGCTTCTGTCGTGTTTCTGCTTGCCCCCCTGTTCCTTGACCTTCTCCCGGTGGCCCTCGCCTCCACTTTCATCGTTGGAGCTGTCATTGTCGTCATCGCCACTGCTGCTCTCTTCGCTGCTGCTCTCTTCGCTGCTGCTCTCTTCATCGCTGCTGCTGCTGCTAGAGCTCTCTCTTGAAGAAGAGTCGACCGTTACCACCTTCTTCGACGACTGCGATCGCGCAGGGTCCACCACGCCGCACCTGACCTCCATGTGCTCATCCCCTAGCACGTAGCTGCACTGCGATTCACCTGTTCGTTGCGTAGTCAAAATCGTGATAGAGCAGACGCACGCCGAGAGAGCAGGGTCTGCGTCACGATTGCTGTGGTTACCGCTCGCGGGGTAGAAACAGCGCGTGGGTTCGTCAATCATTTCGATCGTTTTAGCCTAGCTAAGGTCGTCGGTTTCAGCGTGGTCGCCTCTAGAACTACCGCTGTCGAGTGCAGTTCTTAGCCGCGCCGTTCCGGTACATTTCGGTATTGATGTGGCACGGCAGTACAAGAGTCTAAGAGATAGATATCGATTCTTACCGGGACCAAGAGGGAGGGGCATCGGTGAAACCGCAGGGCATCTGCCGACTCGTGGCCCAAAGGCTTGAAGACCTGCCTGCAGACACCGGAAGGGCAAAGACAAGACAGGAGAGAAAGGCACTGGGTTTTTGGTGCAAATAGCGAGAGAAATACAGATCTAGACAGCGAGATAGAGGAGAGGTGCGTCAAGGTGTGTGGTGGATCGGGTTCGGAATGCTACACGGGGTATCCCCACCGACGGGTGGATTTGCATGGTGTGGGCAGCCGCATAACATGGTTTGGTACTATTTAAGCCTGGTGCGTAGAGGAATGAAATTTCTGAGGAACGCATGGGTGAGGCCTGCTCCTATTCTACAAGTCGATGGTTGTCTCACCACGAGTGTATCGACTCCAGTCGGACCAAACACCTCAAGCGCCGGAGAACCCAGAGCAGACAAGGTCAGTATCAGTCCCGATAGACCCGCATGCTCCTCCGCCCCCGTACCCGTCAAGAAAAGCTTGTTTACCTTAGCCAGCTTCACGCCGGCCTCTCCGCAGAAACGCTAAGAGAGGAACGAAGAAGGGAGGAGGAGGGGGAGTGATTTGAGACGTTGGATTGTCGATGTTTCCTGCTTCGTGCATAACGTAGCAATCTGCTGCAGACGCAAGCACATGTGTTTCGTCCGCGATGTGCAAACTTGGCTTGACGTTGACAGTACCCGATCAGAACTACAGCAGGACTGGTGCCGCTTCCGTCGCAGCTAGCACGGCACCAGCATGCCCTCTACAAAACATGTGAGTGGCATACACGAAATAGAAAAGCACTCGTTGGCGTGTGTATGCAACGGCCTAGGCACTCGCTAGTCTCGAATCGCCCACCTGGGTTCCCTCTCCAACGTTGAACAGATATCGGCGCAGTATTTTGTTCTCCGTCGGCTCGCCCCCGCTGTACCTTGGAGCCTTCTCCACGGAGACAATGAGGCACGGGCTGCTCCCATCGTCTCCTGTCCCAATGACCTAACACCAACACCAACAACAGCAGCAGCAAAGGTACGCAGCCAGCACTACATCAGGAAGACAGAGATTGAAAAGGCGTGGAGACGGTCATGCCTATCATTGAGCGCGTATTCAGGGATGGTCGATGTGTTCCGGGAGCTAGCTCACCTGGCAGTAGCTATGGATGAGGTCCTCGGTCTTCATGGCATCAGCGTCGGCGCGAGGGGGTCGTGCCACACGTGTGGTGGTTTGTGGGCCCTCTCGGCGCTGGGCCCTCCGCTAGGGACTCGGGACTGTCACTTGTTTCGAACAAGCACGCCTCCGCCGTTTTCTACGCACACTTTTTTTTTTTCTTTGCCCACGTCGCCTTTTGCGCCAGCACACACAGCACGATCATCGACGTCCACCTCCTAGCACACACACACCCTACACCCTCCATTCCCTGTCACGAGAGTACCAGACGATATCACACAATGAAGGTAGCAGCTCTAGCACTGGTGGCGACTAGCACGGCTTCGGCAGCGCAGCAGCAGTCATGCTTCGTGCCATCAGTCGGAGGCGGTCTCAGGCCATCTTCAAAGACAACGAGCAGCAGCATGCAGATGAAGCTTTGGGATTTCGGGCTCAACCGCGAGGTACGGTACGGTCGGCTCCCTGCGCTCCTACTCCTCTGGACGTGTCTGTTCCTTCGCCGGGGTATTGTCTGTCGATCGAGAGGGGCAAGCAGAAAAAACCTCTTAAGTCATGTACCCCCTCTTGGCGATCCGGTGTGATGACTCGATCGCTGTCATCGTATGCATACGCTTGACGTGGCTAATTTGTTCTGGCTTCTGCCCTGTGCCTTGAAGAGAAAATTCGCCGCATGTACCTGGTAGCAACACATAAGAGAGAGAGAGAGAGAGACCCAACACCGCCGCATCCTCGCGCCTGGCAGAACCCCTTGTACCAGCGGCTTGCAAGTTGGGGCCGCAACGCCTTCGTCGTTGAGATACGATAATTACATACATTCCATACCAGGAATTTGGAAATGTCCTGTCGCATCGTCGATGAGCAACCGTCGTGGGCATCGAAATGCACCGCCTCACACCGCCCCTTGTCAAAGCGACATGTTTAATACGTCCACAAGGGCTTCGTACTCGAAGCGGGGGGGGGGCTCGTCCGCTGAGGATGGTGGGAGGTGATTGCGTGAGAAGGTGGTAGGCATCAACTGCTCGCCAAGTGGCACGACGTGACGAAGAAGGTTGCGTAGTGAAAGGCAGCGGGGCAGCTGATGTGAGCACACACCGACCGCCCCCGTGGTTGGGGATGTGTTCTCCTTGCTCGGAGTAGAGGGGGAACTGCTGTAAATAGCACGAGTGTCGTTGAGAGAGAACTTGTCCCAGGAGCAGCCACTGCATACCATGGCTCATGTTCGTGTGTGATGTACATGTTGGCCGCTGCTGCTGCTACTGCTGCTCCAACTGCTGGCGTAACAGGCGATCACCGGGCCGTCCCAGGTGGACGAGAACTGGAAGGCTCAGCAAGAAATGCTCAAGCGACGAAAGTGAGAAGAGGGCGCGTCAACGAGTACTAAAAACACTTAAGACGACGAGCCCTGAACCAGCAGATGGAGTGGGTGCTCTGCACGCAGCAGAACGTGTCGTGTAACTCTTTGTAGTTGACTATTCAGTCTCTGTCATATGTGACATGTGTCCTACATGTAGCGTTGTAACCCTCTCGACTATAATAGCGTGTGTACGCACCCACATTTCCTGAATCACTCCGGTGTCGTTTACCGCCGTCTCCCCTCCTCCCCGGTCGTTCAGCAACAAGGGCGCCATGGACAAGTACAAGTCTAAGGTCAACGAAAAGAGGGCACAGGCGGACGCGAAGGTATCAAGTAAATCCACGGATAGAACGCCGCCTGAATAGACACGATCGATCTCCGTAGACGTGCCGTCTCAAAGCCATGTCATCGTAGATTATAGTCTTGTTGTGATGATGGCCGGGAAGATCGGCGGTGAGCGCGCAAGGTGGCCGTACACGGATGTGCTTTAAATTAGTGTTTTTTCTGCAATTTATTAATCTCTCGGAGGAATGAGAGGTGGTTTCCTTGGAGCGTGAAACCAATCCATCTCCGCTCTGGGTGCGATAGATGCCACTGCCCCACTCGTCGCTGCAACATCCTTGTTCACCGATCACCACTGCTGTAGAGTCAAGACCTCGAAAAACAGTTCGCCACAGCAGGTATGTGCCTTTTCTGAAGGTGAAGTCGCGTGCTGATCTTCTCTCTCTACGAAACCCTCTCTTTCGTCGTCCTTCTCCGTCCTTCTCCGCAGGCGAACAAGTGGAAATGGCAGACCGAGAAGTCTAGCTTTGACCCGCTCGTGGCGTGGAAGAAGATGAAGTCAGAGGGCAAGATCGACGAGGTTTACGAGGTGAGAGACACACACACAAAGAGACAGCGACAGATGAGAGACGAGAGACAGACAGACAGAAAGACAGACGGAGGAGACTCGCGATTTTAAGAATGACCCTCATGTCGAGCGGGTGCGCAGACTAGATTATGCGCAGGGCGCCCGCCTCCGAACAGTCCGCGGGGGGTGTTCGCAACTCGTGGGCGAGAAATCGGTACTTGAAATGTTAGTTCTCCAAATGATGAAACGGGAAGTCTGCGGGCGGTGTTCGCAATTCGTTGGCAACGACGCGACCGACTCAACGGTGCCCGTGCTACTTCGAAGTATGTATCGGCTGTGGCACCCCGACAGCCGCACAAGCAAGGTTCTTCTCCACCGTCGCCAGACTGCTCATGCATGTGCATGTGAATCCACTCTCCTTTTCGAAGAAGACACCAAAATCCGCTGAAAGCAATGCATTTGCTGGGGAGATTTTTCACTGCTATGTATAGCATCGACCGCGCTAACGGACGAAAAACGTCAGTGCGGCTGCCTGACACCAGGCAATGATTCTAAAGGCCATGATCTGTGTGCGCGCGCGCGTGTGTGTGTGGGTTCTGTCCGGTCAGGAGGGTGAGAACGAAGAGGGCGGTATCCCGATCCCGATGGCCAGCTTCGGGGTGGGAGGCAGCTTCGGCGTCGGCGGGAAGTGGGACGAGGGCGGACGGTTCGACCTCCGACTTCCCTACGCCGACCAGGTGCTTGTGCTACTAAAATTATAGTTTGCTACTAAAATTAGCCCAAACATTTTTTTTTGCTACTAAAATTTTTGGTTGTTTTTTGTTTCGATTTCTTGTTTTTATTTAGACGCCTGGCTGGCTGCCTGCGCAGCTAGTGTTCTACACTACTGGTGTGTGCATATATTACTTGAGATATATCGTTGAGACTGCCATGCTCGTTATAGACAATACGGAGTACTTACAGTGAGTGGGTAGACGAACCTACTGGATGCGGGGCTGATTCAAAATATGAAGGTATTTAGTATGAAATTATATCTGGGACCTAACAAGCTACGCGGCCATGCTTGATGTATACTACCGCTAGTCTTATTTCTCTTGCTACACCTAAAGTTGCCTTTTTGCACGACGTGTTGTTTGAGGTCCCTGCTGCTGTAGTAGGGGTCTCGAAGAAAGTTGGAGGCTCCTTTGATGGCGACATGTTGAGCAGGAAGTTGACGGCCCCTCGTAGAAACGCGTGTCCTCTTGAGTCAACAACATCACGCATAAGCGGTCAAAGCGGAGTACCGAGTCCTTGCGGCGGGCACCGACCAAAATGCGCGTTCGCTTGTTGGGTGCGAAGCAATTCGAGAATAATTCGTCGGGAAACAGCGTGTCGGCAAGGGGGAGATTGTTCACGTCTTTAGCCTACGGTGGGCGTTGTGGCATCGCCCGCACAAGAAGAGCGCGCCTTGTTTGTTTGTTTTACCTGTACCCACACACTTTCGAGAGGATCGTCGTGGAGGCGTCAAGAAGGGAAGGGCAGAGGGCCGTGGGCACAAC